AAATTCAAAATGGCTTCCATCACTCGCATGTCTGTGATCTTGTTTCCTCTAATACCTATAGCTCTATAACCGGTTCTGGAAGTAGATGACACGCCTCTTTTGCACTTGTGGTTACGAAAACATTTGACACTCTCTTGTATGACGTTTTTAAAGAAATACATGCCTATAATGACCTTTCGTGAGGTTTCTGCGATCAGCTTAAGTCTATTCGGACAGTCGTTACTACCTATACGAATTGATACTACAACCTCGAGTGAGTACTAATTCCTGTTCTGGGCACTTCTATATTTATTGCTGTCCTGAATGTCCTAGTTGCTCACTTCGAGCCCCGCGAAAATATACTCTATTTTGTTTCTCTATCTATCTGCGATACTATTTACGTTTCGTTACAAGTTGAAACTGGGATGTTTATAGAGCTTCATCAGCAAACAATTCAGTCAATTTTAACGAATAGTCGTCTCGGGTGAAAGACCAGCCTGGGTCAGTCCGTATTGTAAACTACGTCTGAAACGCTGATTTCAATGTATGTGTTGTTTGGTCCTTGAGTTAAACGTTTTCCCAACCTATATTTTTTTAAATAGATCCCTTTATAAACCGGTGATTACTTATCAGGATGGCTTCGTGGTTTCCACGAATAAGTCATTTCATAAACGATGCCATTCGGATATTGTTTAGAATATCAAAATTGAGCATAGCTTTCGTATTGTTTCAAAGCGATATTCACTCCGACGTTGCCTGATGTACAAATCAATGTACGAACCCGTCATGAATGACCCAATTTCCACCGTCATCGACAGCTTTAGGTAGATACTGTCCCAGAAGTGCATATAGTTTCATATATGTGATCAATTGTCTGAGTCACCCTTTATTCCCTGTATCAGAAATAAAATAGTCGTCAGTGTTACGAGCTCGATATGTTACAGACATCGCGATGTGATTTTCAGCTGATCCTACACTCTTCATATTGATGCGGCTTTAGGTTTGTGTATATGAACAGAGTTTATTTACAAACAACAAAAGTTTATGTGGCTCAGCAGACTATTGTCAACGCGTACATACCTGCACCGTACAATTCTCAACCGACCGAATTAATCGTCGCCTAATAAAAATAAAATTCCATAGAACGAAAGTCTTAAAACGTCACATTGTTGTTCAAATAACCTCATTCTAATATAAGAGATCGTACTTTTGTTCAGTATTCTTTCGGCCTGCGCACGTTCCGTGCATTAGGGCGGGCGGGAAGCCTGTCAAAGAAGCAGCTCATCGCTCATTACACGTTTAGCCGCGGGGACCATTTTGAATATACGTCTAGGTAGATGAACGTATAGGATCAAAGTTTAAAAATCTTCACTCCGGTTAAATATGACCGCGCGGGTAGCTGTCATACGCACTTAATTTACCGTAAGGTGCAGGGCAGTCTTCGTTATAAAGCAATAGAATTGAATATATTAAGGTGACGACTGAAGGCTTGTTAATTGTCAGCTGCCGCTGAGATTTACCACCATGAAAGAAATGTGCTATACCTGATGACAACCAAGTAAAGGTTCTTCTTAAAGGTGTTATGTGTACGTCAGTGTACGCTCTAGAAACAAAAGATACATTTCGAGGTTTATGTTCGGTATTGCTGTTAGACAGTAGATGGCTTGCTCCCAGCGCGAAACATACCTACGCGCGGGTTCGAATCTAGGCCCCGACGTGTCCCTAGAATCAGCAGGCAAATACGTTAGCCACCAAGCTATCACGAGGATCGTAAGCCCATATCTATATTATTAGCCTACAGTAGCCCCTATTAGGCAGACCTCATGACGAAGTGAGAACTGCCATCTTTCTATATCCATTATGTACGTTTAAAAGGTACAATGAAACTTTGTTCCACATCATCAGTCACTAATGCATCGGACTGCTTTGCTACCAAGAGCTTCTTTTCTTGAAGGTTTCATGATGCCAATTGCATCTAACTGTTAACAAACATAACTTCGTAGTCACTGATCGCTGCAAGCTAAAATTAAAGAAGGAGTATATCAGTAACTTATGCTTCTGAATAAGTACTGTGGGGCCAACTTCATAACGTTAAGCTAAATAACTTTAATCTGATTGAAATTTGAGTTGAAACCTAAAAAATTGGATAATAATAATCAAAAGATTTTATTTCTAGTAATTATTAATATTATAAGTGCAATAGAAAATATGGATAAATGTGGGTACCTATTTATGGATATTTCGCAGTGGACTTGAGATGGGTTGGGCTAGATAAAATACAACTTTATCATTGGATGGTCCTATAATATTTCCTAAAGCACGGCCCGGACCGCATCAAATCATCTAGCTAGAAAACGGTACGGACCAATCGAGTTTCCGAAATGATAAATCATACAGATGGTAAAGTACAGATACATAGAAAAAATAATTGTTATATCAAACTCTGTGCAGTATTTTCAGTAGATCTAACTAAGCCTTTGGAAGATTATTAATACCCATACCATAGACTTTCCATTAATAAAACAAATTAGTCTCGACTGTTTTCCAATGGATCATAACTAAGTCGGTATTTGGCCTTTCGTGAACATTCGTTTCAAAATAACATAATAAACACCATAACAAAACCCAATATCGACGTTGCAAAACACAGAAATTTGAGTTTAAAGTCAAAACTCAATTTATTACTTAGAGTCTCCAATGTTGGACGGAAAGCTGGCATGAAAAAAGAAACAGAAAATACAATGAAAGCCTTCTTGCAATACGAACGCTTAACAGAAGGGTCTCTTTATAAAAACACATACACACACATATAGATGTATATGTGTTTTAATCTTCAAGGCTGAATCCTTGGCCACAGGGGACGTGATTGTAAACGGTAGACCAAGTCGGTATTTCGAAGCATTTACTCACAAGGATCATCTTTAGGCTAACTGTCATTTTCTATTGAACTTCTACGGAATTTATTTTTAAAGTAAATACTTAAGCCCTTACCTTTAAAATTTCCGCAAGAAATTTGATAGACACTAAACACGTTCTACTTGAACTAGTCATGCCAACCCTTGACAACTGCCTTTACAGAGCGTAGGGCGTACACATCTGTTTTTATTGTACGAAGAGGCGCATGCTCCTATCGATCCAGGTTTCGAATTATACATTTAAGTGCTCGCTAACACCTCACCGAGCCTCTTCGATATCTTGTAGCCGTGAAAAATCGTTGGCCTTCCTTACGCTGGGTTACAACAGGGCAAATCTGACGCGTTCTACACTGAATATAGCCAGTAGACAGCTTTACGCTGAAATAATACGATCAAAAAGAAAGCAGAAATAGCTTATTACGGATGTTTAACTGCTAACTTGTATGTTATTGGATATTACCGTGTCCTATCGCCTCGGTGCTGAACTTCAATAGTTAACTATAGCCGACTTTGGGTAAGTTATGCATGGTTTGATTACGAAAACAAACACTCGGAGACTATTTTGGTCATCCATCGGCCTAAACAAATAATTTGGACCGATCCACACAGTATCCTTATTTTTTTCCCTGTTCGAAGTCGGTAAAAAAAGAAAGACTGTCCAGCAGTGTCAAGGATGCTGCATGACGGCGTCAGACATCGGCGAGGCTCGTTCTGGTCATTCATACTTGGGCGTTTTAGGCGAACCGCCAGACAGCCATCAACCAGCTTCTAGATCATTCTGATGTTAGGTCTAGTATTGCTGTTGGGCCGTCGACAAGGATTCGTCGTCCTGTTTTAGCGGAGATTTAGACTGCCGTAGTTACAGTGTCACTGCTGCTGCTGACAGCAAGCGATCGCTGTCGTACGATGGCGGCACCCAACCCCAATGGGGATGGGCAGCTCAGGGAGATGGCCACTTTCTCGAAATCTTCCATTAATCTTTCTCGCCACCCGCTGGCTGTCGTCATGGCGGTTGTGGCTGCAGTAGCAGCGTAGTTTTTTGCTTTCGGATGCTCCCTCAAATGGCACAGGACTCCTGTGGCAACGGCGGCGATCGCTCCGTTCATAGAGTGTTTTTATTGTTGTATTTATGTGAAAGGCGTCCGTTTACGAGATAACTCGAGGTCTAGAGTTAAAGCAGTAGCAATAATGACGGCATCAGAGCCACCAGCGAAAACTGTAGCACCAGCTGCTGTAATGACAGTTATCCTTCTTCGTTGAGAGAGTTCGAGAGATGGGGAAAGAGCCTTTGAGTAGAACAGTGGTAGCTATGCAAGGCGGCTCCCTCAACGACGAACAGCGCAGCGAGGGAAAGACAGGTCATCAATAGGTGAACGCGCTAACTATTCAATCGAACGGGTGGCTACCAACTAACAACAACCTCCATCTCTCACTAGCGACGACTAACCGACCAGCAAACGTCGAACGTGCATTTCAGACGCAAAACTCGTCTGACGAACGTTTCACGTAACAGCTAATATCGGTGGCTACGGCTTTTGCTTTTGACTTGTCGTTGTGAAATTCTAAAAAACCCGATAGTTTTAACGTGACTCACTGTCTTGAAATCGCAGGCCATCCACTAGGTACGTGAATTTAACATACGACATTAAACGTAATAATATATCACTGATAAAGAATAGAAAACATACTAAAAAGTTTTGGTGGGTGGCAGACAAGTCGACGTTATGCAATTTTGAAGGAAAGTAAGGTGCATGTTTATTTAGTATTGGCTACGCAAACTTTTTTAGATGGTGCATAATATTCTAATTAATCAGGCTAGTTATCTCAAGTATGCTCCTTCGTTCGACAGAGAATTATTTTCATTCTGTATTGTAACTCATTTTCTACAATTAGCGAATAGTTTGAGTACGTAACTTACAAGAGTGCCCTTAGAGACGGTGGATTCGTTTTTATACATTTTTGTCTAGTTGGCGCTCTGCGTTGGTTCAGATTTGACGCTGTTTAGAGATTCATTAGTTCACCCGAACTATCCTCGTTCTTTATCTCTTCATTTTGGCGTCATCAGCCCGTTCATTGCCTTGCTAAGGATAGCTCTTTCATTTCCAGGGGAATCTGAACGATGAGGCCGACAACGGACTCATCCAATTGCTCGTTCAGCGGCTTGCTATCTCTATTGCTGCTGCAACTCATTGTCCGGCATGACCTCAAAATGGCGACTAAGGGAACAGACCTCGCTGGGTCGAGAACCGGCAACAACGCACTGACCAGTTCTGCCTTACACACACGACCGGCCACGAGCCAAAGAGGAGAGGAAAAAGGACGCGCCATCATGAGGCAGCTTGAGGACGACGACGTGATGAGACTGGAATGGAGTGAAACGCTACAACGGCCTCGACCTTCTGGACCAGTTAGCTCGCTTGGCTTGTCCGGACAAGTCCTTTGACCCAATACGCGTACACACGTACCAGGCCACGAACATCACCATGGTCATCACAGTCATGATCATACCCCTACCCATTAGCATCAGCGCAGCGCAGCGCAGTGGTATGGCCAGTAACAACGGCCTCAATCAGCAATCGAGAAAGCAACTTGTCCAATCGCTTTGTCTTGTTGTCGTTATATCACAAAAAGGTAGTTCATCGTCATCATTTCAGTCTTCTGTCAGTAGTAGCAGGAAAAATATGAGCGCTGATTCCGCATAAAAAACGAGGAACGAGGGAGGTCTCGTCTTGTTACATTGCTTTTGCAGGCTTCACTACGAGAAGCGATTGCCTTAATACACTATCACTACTTTTAAACGAATTCAGTTGAAAAAATCTTGTTGGCTCTTCTGAAGTAAGTTGACGATCAATACATCATAAATATTATGGAAGTCGGGTGCACTGCTGTTATATAAAATTATGTTTACGGACATTGAAAGCACTAAGTGCTGGATCTTCCCGAAGATTATCAGGGTTGACTCCTTAGGAGTTATTCTGACCCCTTCCTATCGTCACTTGCTGCGAACCTAGAAGACTGCTTCATTTGGCGGATATAGCACATTGAGTATTCTGAATTGGCTCAGGCAGATGGAAAAAGAGAAAAGGGTCCTCATCAACGACAACATTCATGTTTAGAAGCTTACATTCAGCTTGCCGTAATTATATATTTGGTAATCTAGTAAAGAAACGCACCTCCGCTTTCGGTTGACTGAATAGGAAGGACTTCTTGAGTTCGTTGTAAGCGATACATAAACTGTAATGAATCCTGTCTGAAGTGGCGGCTTCGGAGTTGTCACAGCCGCGGTAAGAACAGTTTTCCTATCGGAGATTTGAACTCAGACTCGCTCGTACGTTTTCAACCGTATAAATCTACTCGATCAATTGTATTGTACCATCTCAATGAAGTACTGCAAAAGTATAATACTCTACAGGTATCTATTGTGCGAGAATTGGTAAGTAATCATCGGTAAGTTGAGAAATTATATTGAATAAGTATTTCGAGTTTGTTAACCTAGAGTGCTCGACGCGGTATCGTTCAGAACCGGTTCAGACGAATATACACAATTAAAAGTTTGATCTATTCATTTGCCCACGGATCTGTGAGTTAGCACAATGGAGTTTTCCTGAGAAACCCGATTAAGTCGAATTAGCATAATTAATGAGGTAGCTGTTGCATGTTGATATGTACTACCAACTAAAGAGATTTAACACAAGAGTTAGCAGATTACTGGCATTAAGTGAGCACATATACTTAAAAAGTTTTTTTCCGTTAATAACGAAAATAACTCATGTCCCTTTGTCGAATAAACTACATAATAACTAGGCGAGAAATAAAAGTAAATTTAAAGTTGACTGTATGTGGCTATACGATTATTCTGACGATCAATTTCAAATTAACGGCTATTGTAATTTTCAGTCTTCCATTGTTTGCGCAATATCCGCTCAACGTCTATCTGGTAAACAAGCAGATTTTGTGCATGTCATTGCTTCGTTGAGTTCGCGCGAAGGTTTTCAGAAGATTTGCTTCAGCATGGTCGTCTTTTTGCTTACGTTAGCTGACCTATGACCTGCATTCGTATGGAAGTAGCGAAACGAGAAAAACGCGGAGCTCGAAAGGACGTACGCAGCGGGATGTTGACTGAGCGTTGAAAGTTCGGTGAGCCAACGGCTGGACTCCGCTTCTTTTATGCAACATGAACGTCGCCGTTTCGCCTATCGAGTATAGGGCAATTTGCCAAAAGCCCCAAGCTGGTAAACAAAGGCGGTCTAAGGCAACCTTAGCACGAGTTTCACTACAATTTTTTTTAAATTTCGCAAGAGCGTTGCTTGCAAATATTTGCCTATAAAGGGTAGAAGGCTTCCTAAATGTTGGGTTTGGCTAAGTAAACTCGTTTCAACATAATGTTACGATGAGATTGAACGAAGATTCGAGCGAGAATATGACGAAGAGCTGTGCTCTTCTCGCATAAACTCTAAAATTAGCAAATACGGTTTGTACCAAACATGTTTGTTGCAGCTTTACCTAACGAAACACATACCTTTAATTCGAAATGTACGACGCTCATTGGTGATGCTTTCCCATCCAAAGCTTCTAGCCACTTATCTAGACGTCGTTGCTATTGTGTTGTGTCAGTCCGAGTGACCCGTTCACAATATGGTAAGCTGTTACGTATTTCAGAAAGCTGTCCGGTCTAGTTACCTAATCTATTGCATCGCCATGACGTCTGGCCGCATGAAACCATTACTGTTTTCAAATTACAAAAGAAGACGTTGCATTTAAATTTATTTCTGGCTATAACTGTATCGCATCCAGACAGCTTACGGCATCTGTTTAGAGGCGCAGGATAACTTGTACATGCACACGGTTGATTGGCCTGAATTCGTTCGTGCTAGATTTGCGTAGCACCGCATTCAGCACGCGGGTCAAAATGGGGATCGCGCCTCACTTACTGCTGCTACTACAGCCTCCAAGAGATAGGCGCAAACTTCACCTTGCCACTATCGTTCCCGTTGGGCCTAGTCGTCACAGTTCCAAAAAGATACAGGCCGTCGTACAGTATGGCTATACGCCTGCGTCCTTTTACGTGTGCATGGTTCGATGATCAACCTTTTCAGCCTTGCTACTTGCTGCTTGTTTGCCCCTGTTTGTCTGACCGACTTCCCATCTACCAGGTTTTCCCGGTCCAGTCGCAGTGGTAGCAACAACTGCTTGTACTAACGCTAGCTATAGGAGCAGCAGTGGAGGCGGAATCAGCAGCGACACTTCCGGGCAATTTAGTCCAGCTGCCGGCGACGACCAGACGAACGTACGTTCGAATCATTGTAGTACTTACAGTTTGAGCAGGCAACGAATGCACCGCGACGGCCCGCACTAGTCAACAACGGACGAACTGCTAAAATCGCCGCTGGTCACTGTTACAAGATGGACAGTTTCCTTAACAGTCCTTATCCAATGCCGATGAACCGATCTCGCGTCGCAGGACTTGCATCCTGCAGATACAACGTCTAGAACTTCCCGTTTGCGAGGTAAAGGCATCTTTTCGGAACACATATAATATAAACATCATTAAAAAATTACAAAACCGCAGCTTATTTCGAAAACGAAAAATACCCCTTAGGGGGCAATACAAACTGTTAACATTACAAATATATACGGCTTACGTACGTAAAAGGCGGCCATTCATAATTTCGCATTACACGTAATCATCTTGCACTTGTTGTTGGGCTGATTATATTAGCCTCTATGCAGACATGTGCTATATCATCACGATAGTGCCATAGGCACCTTCATGATGATATAGCATATATACGGTCGGAACGTTACAGTCATCTACGTGTTATAATTCATGTTTAGAGAGATTAAGTTTAGTTCTACTTCTTAAATCACCAGTCAATTTTACAATAGTTATTTATCTCTAAGTTTAGCTTCAGCGTTACAATGGCAAAGGAATTGGAAATTTATCACCATGTATGTGATCATCATCTATTCACTCATTGTATATAGGGGGTCGGAGCTGATATTGGATAGCGAAAATTTTCGACAACAATTATATGCGTGCGTATTGTAAAATTACGTTACCTCCGTTATCTCGATTGCTCGAACATTATTTTCCTCTTCGGAGCTGTTCGGTAAGATAAGCTTATATATCTTATGAACAAAAGCAAATAAACTTCGAACATTGAACTTGTGAAAGTTACATGATCGCACAAGAAACAACCAGAAACAAATGTATCGGTTTATCTCTGTCGGGACAATGGCAAAAAAAAGTAAGCTCTTGAAAGATTAACAAGATCTAACGTGCAGTAGCTGGGGGAACGGTGTCATTTTCTTAAAACCTAAGAGATCCACTTTAGTGGTCCATTGGACTGAATTCCAATGGAATTCCGGTATATAAAAGGACTTTTTTTTTGGCGCATTGTATCACACGCTATATCGCCGACCTTTTGCTAAAGAGCCTGCCTTTTTTTCAGCGGAAGATGATTAAGTGCGTATGTGAGGAACGTCATATAGATGCTGTGTCAAATAGTCCTCGAGATAGTTCAGTGGTAACGTGTCTGCATACTTGAACACATGTGAACAGATGTAACGCAATCGTATTAAAGACAATTTGTTCCTTGCTGGGGGAAGTCCGATGTAATGATTAACGGTTATTCCGGAAGTAAAATTCCAAGATATGAGAGACAAACAAAGATAGGGAGAGCTACATAGCACCAGTGATTTTGCAGAAACAAATTCAGACGCGGAAACCTATACTAGTTGCTGGACCTCACACGGAATCTGGCGGCGGAGGTATTGAAAATGAAGTGAGTCGAATGCTGGGTTAGTACTTGTTTCTTTTCCCTGCACAGATCCAACACCCCCAACGGTGTGCTCTAAGGAAACACGTTTGTTACATGTTTGTTTGCACTGCAGATCTACTTACGCAATAGATTGCCTGCGGGACTTATTGCAGCGACCCTTATCCTTGCATCATCTTTCTGTACAATAACTTCCCGTCTCACTGGTGCATAAAAGTGGCAAGGTTTAATGCTAAAGCCCTGCAATAGATCAACCCCCAGCTAACAATACCTCACGGCGATATATGCATACACATACATATCCCTATAGTCGCATGTTTGCGCTTACATTACGGACTCCTTCTGCCGATCAATATCGGTTAGCCTTGTAAACTGCTGTATCAATATTGCCATACGTGGAGTGACCACTCTAGTATTCGTTGCAAATTTTTACTCATAACAGTCGCTTGCCGGCTGTTCACCGAGTCTCTTTTAAGATCCAGCTTTTATTCCGAAGGGCGCCAGCGTTGGTTTGCCAAAAAACCGCTCACAAGGCTCTCTGACGGAACTAATGACCTGAAAATGGAACTTCTATTTTCGGCGACCTTGGGTTAAGTGTGTAAATGTATGTTGACCGCTAAAATGCATTAGAGAGCAGTACACGGCATGCCAGAATGCACAAAGTAAACACTTTCTTCGCTAATCCTTCGTTAGACGGTGGTTAAGGACGGCAGAGTAATTATTGAGTGAGCAATGTCGGAACGTATGATACAAGACTCGCACGGATATTTAGATGACGTGGAACTCTAGAATGAAATTTGGTACTTCGTACTCAAACCGGTAGGTGGCGGAGAATAGAGGGCAATATAATTAGGAACGCTGCTGTTCCTTACGAATAAGGCCTATAAGTGCGACCGGAAAGTTCAGTGGGACAAATCTTACGGCCGTTTTCGAGCCTCTGCGAAACATAAGAAGTTATTAAATTAGCATAGTACCAGAAAAATAAGCCTTCATTACCTTTCAGGGTCAGCTTTTGCATCGATGTATTAGGAACATAATGTAAATAGCCAAACATATGAGGAGAAGCCGTTTCCACATGTGCATCTACACACAAACATCTTGCCAGCGGCAGGTTTTACCAAATCTCTGCGGCTGTTGGTAACCGCTGTTGTTGTTGATACAGGCGCAGTGACCATGGATTCCGTTCGTTTTCTAAAATTCGATACGCGGAGGAGGTGACGCGGTGAGTCCTCCAGGCAAACTGGTGGTGACACACTGTATTAGCAATGTGTTCCAGTTGTGAATTATACACTATGGAACGACAGCCAAGGCAGCAGCAGCGGCGGGCAGAACGTGGAAAGGACTTCGAAGGAGAGAAGGGGTCGGTCTGGGGATAGGCCTGAACGCCGGTCCGGCTCCTGCCTGTTTCGGCAGTTCACAGGTCCCAGAGGGTATAGATGGAAATCGTTGAACGTGGGCAGTGTGAAGGCCTATCTGCATTGGTACCATGGTCATGCAAAGAATGCAAGAGACATGGAGCTTTTGGATCGTCACAGTGACCCGGACTACACGAAACAAATGAAGTACTTAGTACTCCTATTTCTACATCTGTTACTACTAAAACGGGAGTCTAGAGGTGGGGAAGGAGTTAAATTGAAATTGACGAGTGCCGGCCTTCCTATGCCATTAACAAAGGAGCGATCGTGTACTGAATTTGTAGTGAGAAAAAGGACAAGGCCGGTTGGTATACAGTGATGGTCATTAGTGATAAATACTTGCTATTACGGCCGCAGAACGCGGACTTTGTTAGTTGAGCCGAATTTGACTATTCCCGTATAAATAACGCAGGTTACGATATTTGCTTAAGTGTCAATCGACCGAATCCAGTTTGTTCATTTGAATCAAACCTAAGAAATTAGGGTTTCTTTTAGGCTCCTTTTAGTACCTAGCAAAATCTGACAACATGTCTCAGCGAAACTCTTCGAGTGAATTTTATAGAACCTGGAATAATGTGGCAGCGCAAGCCTAACTGGAACGTAATTGATCAATTCTATTAACATGCTAACTGTAATAGACGAATATATGAAAAAAAAAAAAAAAAAAGTTACCAAACTTAGAAATAAGTTCCGTCGATTTTGTTTTCCTCTAGTCTCGATCCAAACGGAGCGTCGTGGATCACGCTGAACACGGCCTCTTCACGCTTAAATATAGATGATCATACGCCGTCAAGGTTACTGACAAATTTTTCGAAATCTGGTTCGAAAAAGAATACACACTGTGCCCATGTGTTTGATTGTTTGACCCTCGTAAAGTAATCGGATTAGGTTGACTCTTTTGAGTCAGACGAGTTTCATTTTGGGAAGAGCTGCGTCTGCGATAAAGCCTCCTTTTTTCCTAAAGAGCAAAGCTTTTTTTTTTCCCTATAAAAGGAAATGTTAATTAGGCCAAATTGCCGGTTGTTTTTTGTGATATTCTTTATAGCCGTCGAGAGTTTCCACAAAATATATCTTAGAAAGCCAAGACTTACAGAGCAGGCACAATACTGGATTTGGAAATAACTTATAATATAAAACATCTTAATATAAAACATCTAAGTTTTATATTGTTACTGTTTAGCTGTGCAATAGTGATTTTTGCCGATATGATTTGCAATTAATCACATATAAACTATTTCAGCTAACTTTTTTTTCCTTACAAGAGGTAGGGGCGTGATTCTCAACCTATTCAAATCGGAGAATAGTCATGAAGCTCGGAGCATGTTGGCCTATATGACTGATGTCCTTCGGTTAGATGAATACCTTTTTCGGATGATGAAATTAATTAAAATGGAAAAGCAATCCAGTACTTAAACGATAACACTATTTCTATTGGAGAACAATAATTGGAGAGGAGGAGTTGATTGGGGTTGATTAAAATTTTAATTAAGTTTAATTTTACAATGTACGTTGTTTCATATCGGCAATTTTTCAATTAGGCTTAGCTGTTTTCCCGATTATATCGATATGAATATGATAAATAAAATAGGAGGCGGAATTATTGCAGCAAAGTAAGCAATCGTCGCTCGAACAGGACAATAGGACAACTGCAGTAGAAAACTAACGGAATCAGTAATGTTAAGTAAGACGAAGTTAAAAAAATATCATTATGTATAGGGACAACAGAATAGATATAACAGGATTTCAAGAAAGCTGCAACTGAACGTACGGCCGTAACTTGGAATCGGCTGATGGGATAACTGCAGCGTTCATAATTTACATCAATGCGAAGACGGAATACATGGTGCAGGTCAACTGCAACGGAACAATGGCCGCTAATATATTGACTAAGTGGTGCTGAATTTTCAATCAAACTATAGTTTGTTTTTAGTTAGATACGACGCCAACCTGTCTACCGCTAGTACTACCTACCCGTCTATGGGATCCGTCTTGAATAATCGTCTTTATATAGTTTTTTGTTTGAGAGGTATGTTTTTTTGGCGAACGTTACCGAAAAAAATAGCAGAAAAATAGCAGACAGACATATACATCGAGATCTATTGTGGGAAATATCCACAGCCAAACAAAAGCTATCGCTGACCTGAATCGATATACAACCAGTGCCTTAATACCCATACCATGAAAATGGCAAAATAGGACAAACCTCGTACGGCAGTAGAGTGAGAATGCTTGAACGTTCTAAGCGAATTGCTAATACGTGTTAAATGGACAGTTACAACGGACATCTTAGTAACACAATTAGTATAAAAACGATTTTTTCAAAAAAATACCAAAAAATTAAAGAAACGTTCGTCAAGAACCACTTTCCCCGCGCTAATTGTTGAGGCTAATTGATCTCAGTCAGCCCAGTAAAGATGCAACACATATCCTTATAGTTAAATAGATATTTCAGCAGAGACAAGAATGGTGAAACTTAATTTTGGTAATTGTTTAGAATGAAAACATTTTACATGCAGGGCTACGCAGAGGATACTTTTGCTACCGATCGGGAACCCTATGGACCAAATTGAAACGTCACACATACGTTGTAGGTTTCTAGTCTAAGATGAAATTTTAATTTAACGTGGTGTGCTATAGGAAGTTTTTTTTATCTTTATAGCACATACCGATACAATCCACAAGATGAAATAATAAGCAGTCACTACTGGAACACGGTAATAGACTACAACTCTACTGTAGTCGAATAGTTGAAAATGTGTCGGTAAACAGAAAGGCTATAGGTCTGCAATCGATCTGTTTATGTTCAAACCTTTGATCTCTGGTATCTGAGTTTATGTTAAAAGAGATATAGCGCCAATCAGATCCATTTTTCTATTAGCTCGGATAGGGCAGCCGTTACGGACAAATGACAGTGAATGCTATACGCGAGAGATTTACTTGAATAGTTTACATGTACAATAATTCGTTTATTGGCTTGCATAGAATAACTCAAACATGAAACAAGAGGTCATTGCGAGAAACCGGGACATGCGTTCCGCGTGGAATACGGTCTGTTGTAGCTAGCCTAATATAGAATAGCGTGACTACCTTACAATTGACAGCATTTTCCTCTTCATATCAATCAACGAATTAGGCTGGGTCTAATAGTGACAAGTTAAACTAGTTGAATTAACAGCGACATAGATACGGGACGAGATTAGCAATCCGTTTATCTACCCCACTCTATCTGCGTGTACTCCTAAAACCCTGTATCTATATGCATGCGTTTATACGACTCAAACGTACGCTATAAAGCAGTCAGACACAACTTATTTTTTCAGGGTCGAAACAGTTTTACTCGGAGAAGTAAGGTGGAGCCGACTAAATGAATACTTACCTGAGGAGTTCACTTTTCCCACAGACCGTAATGTTAATATTGTATGCAATTGACCATTACTTGCGTTTCACCGTCGCGAAAACATTACAGTTATTGAGAATCTGTGATTTTTTGTAATTCAATTGTAAATAAATAGCTTTTGTCCAAACTGTTTATAGCTCATCAAATATGAAGCGTGCCAGTTTTTTTTCCTGTATAAGAAATAATTCTAACTAGACTTTTAAGGAGCAGGGTACATGCAGTGCCTCAGCGGATTGTCTAATATAAACTAACAAAGATATTGGAGTATTCCACTAGTAAAGCGGTATCGTTCCCGCTGGGTAACCGTGAACTAGATATTTTAATCGGAGAGTTGCACCAGGAGGGCAGAACGTACGAGAACTGCAACAGGACGCCTATGGAAGCGTGGGAAAACTATCGTACATTGGTTTGAGCTAGATTGAGCGTGACTCGTCTCAGATATTAGTGTAGGCCGATAGTAATAACTGCAAGTTGAGACATTTTAACGAAAGAACGAGACACATGGAATACGGCAAATGCCCCTAAATAAAGTGGACAGAATCAGTACAACGGGATAACGTAACTAGTAGTGCAGGATCTCAGGAAATTCAACTAATTAAACTCTGTGTATGTTAGCGCAGGCGTTTCGCGAATCGAATACTTACAGATAAGAACAGACTAGTAAAATCGTAACCAAACGGATGGGGGCGGCGGGGGTTAAGTGCAGTGAGTTAATCGCTATTGTACATTGCGCTTCGCCTTAGGCAAGTCGTACTACCCACAATTCGTTAGATCACCAGAAAAACACCGCCGTTCCGTCTAATTTAATACACGTCTAATGAAACCTATTTTACGGTGCAGGATGAGCCCCCCCTCCCTGTCTTTTGCCATACAGCTGTCAATTCTTTTGTCTGTATTTAAGCCGTTAAGCATTACTTTCGGCGGCTTTTTCTGTATTTCTCTCTAATTAATGTTCATAAAACGACATAATAGTATTACTTTTTCCTGCACCAAGACAAGCCTCGTTTTTTCCATAGAGCGCAATGTTAATTCATCAAAATTGTTGGATACGACCGCAGATCGGCTAATTAATCTACGCGGCTCGCTTCTTTACGTTATGTACTGTCCCGTTGTGTCGTGTTGGAGTTAGAAATACAAGTTTAACAGTATTGCATAAAAGACTACTTGTTTAACTAGCTCATACGTGGAATCTGTGATCCGTTTCACTGCGCTGAAACAACATGCTCTGTTAACATATGTGCCCAAATTGTGAAACTTAGAACTTAACTTGAGCATTTATGAGAAATTCCCGTTGTGCAGAAACGTGCACTCAATTAGAGTTACGTGTCCAAGCTATATTATGGAATAAGCCATGAAATTTTACCCCGTTAGGAGTTTATAATCTAACGACTCGTCCTAGCGTGTCAAAAGCACTGTGGGCAAGAGCGACCGCCAAAAAGGACCGGTACGTCAACGGGGCGACGAGAGTTCCCGACAATGCAGAAACAAATCATCATAGTACAGAAAAAGTCTCGAGAGACAGCAAGGTTTCGGGCCAAATCAGCCAGTATAAGCGTAAAATATGCATAGATAAAACGGAACGAATGACAAAGCTTCAGGCAAAATAAAACGTAGACAAGCAACGTTCTTTTAATACCGAAAGCCCTGAGCAATGGGTAACATCTTGACAGGTGTTGGCGGGATGGATAGAATTCGACGTTATTGTAAAAGGAATTTTCTCAAAGATGAAAGGGCAAACTTCGCTGCATATAAGCAAAAATTAAATTATATGGCATAACTTGCAGTAAAATCTGTCGAAACACTACATCACTAGCAAAAATTTTAAAAAAAAATATAAGACAACATGATAATATATCACTACATAATAACGTCTTTCAGAGGCAATGTACAAATTTCTATTAGTTATAGAAATCTTTTCATCGTACAATCGGACCACTCGACAACAAACGGTGCTAGTTTCCAATCTACTTTGTGCACCTGCAATACAATTTTGAACGTCGTCTACAAATAACGAATTGTCTAAAATTTTTATGCCATCGTTCAAGCCTTCGAAGGGACAATTTTACATTTGGATATCTGTACGTGACCACAGCCAGAAAATGTATTGAAGAGCTACGAAACACGCTCATCCGGTCGACGACCACCAAGCAAGTAGGAATTATTGTTCAAAATACCCAAGGGTTGAGTAAGACACAGTGACGCATCATCCTACGCTACTAACACAGTCTCCAGAAGAAGAAAACAGGCCAGAGATCATTTCTAAATTGCATCAATCATATAACTGCGTATAGTTCTTATTGGGTGACAATGCTTAATATCGATCATTGGCATCATTCAAAAGCGGACCAAATACGTAGCAGGACTACGACAGGGCACTATGACGTACATTCATACATGTGAAATTACTTCTCTTTTTTTCCAGTACACACCAACCGTATATTATAAGTCACCGTACCAAAGGCAAACAACTGGATGATCGATCAGATTTGCTTGAGAGGGTAATGCAAGCGGACTTTCTCATGATTAGACTATACGCTGTAGTAAACCCACTGCCGACTAGGCGATGTGATCTTACTATATGCGTTGATTTTTCTAAACAGAGCGCTTTTTTTTTTGGTTCGTCATTGCTTCTAAAGGACACCTCTTCTTCTTTTCTCGCCGCCGCCTGTTGGTCGCATTTTGGCATTACTTTGTCCCGCTCACTGTCCCTCATCTCGGTCGTGCGCCATATGCGCGGAAGGGCGCATCGTTTGAAGGCCCGGTGTTGGCTGTTACACGTTGTCCTGCTGCGCAGTGGCCTGCTGTCCGCTGTCCTGTCTTACCGTTTTTGTTGTGCGTTGTACCACGCGCTTTTTTGATTGGCGCGACGGCACTTTTCGCTCTAGTAATGTAACTAAATGACTTGATTTATCCAGTGCCAGTGCTTGCGAGATTACCTATCATTGATGCTGCTAGAAAGCCTTTTTGCCATTTGTGTTGTGTTGGCCTTCGGATTTTGTTGAAGATACTGTTCGTCGAGCTGGCGACATCCACATTCGATTCGTCGATCTGATGCTCTCTAGGGCTCGATGGACACCATTCTGCCAATTAACAAAATCACTTATGAATTGATCATTGCTGATAACATTCGATGTAAGAACAACTGGTAGGTGTCGCTTATGTCTGTATGTTCTGTGAATAATGCTTTTACCGCAGCCTTCAGTTAGGTAAAAAAATCAATCGATTGCGACTAGATTCATTGGCCTAACAGGGTCATTGAGTTGTGACTTCACGTTGGTGGGGTGGGGTTAAAACATGGCTGACCTACCCCGTCTTGAAAAGTTAAAGCTATTAAACAAGAACAATTTGTGTGCATGTCCTGTGCCCACCAGAATGAATACTTGTCTTTTTTATGATGTTACTAATTATCGTATTTTACCCTAGTTGGTTCAATTCAATATGGCTATCTACGATGACCGTGTAGCATTTGTGGTCCTACACAAAAACGTTTTGGTACATCTCTTAGCAAGATCATTTTGGCATAAGTTTTCTGCGTTTAGCTCATCGCTTTGGTCCGCACCTCTGTTAGATCCTTCAGGTCATTTTGAATTTTTGGGTGACCGCACTTAGCGTCATAAGCTGGATGATATTTGTCGAATGATGAAGAAATTCTGCGGGGAAAATACACTTTGTGTGGAATTTCTTGATCTTCAATTATTCCATAGCGAATGTTCAGTAGGAAAATATGTTGCTTAGGATGTCCAAACTCGTTGAACAAATTTAATAGCATTTATATTGATGAACTCAATCTCACCATCTTTAGCAATGCATCTGACGCTTGGCTGTAGATGTAATGTTTTGCTTCTTCTAGCTCTATGCTATATATGCTTTCGTATACTTAAATTGTTTCCAAAGGGTGCTGACTATATCATCCTGCAATCAAGTTCCACTTTCCCTAATATATATTTCATTGTCAAATCGTCTTTTATACGTTGAAGTTTCTTTGAACATGAATCTAGGGGTTTTAAGAATATACTTGTCAAATGCCTGTAGCCTACGCCACATCGTTCGTTGTTTATACATGTATCTTAAACGTTTCGCATGCTAGAGGTATGGCTAGACTCTTCTTTTCTATGACTGAGTGTTTTTTTTTGTTTGTTGTTAATGAGCGGCATATGCTACGAAATTGCCTCTTCAAATGAATATTCCATCGCGCTTTTATTCGCTTACGTCCGTTAGCATCGTTAAGGAAGTTGCTCGGTCAAAATACAGGAGTCTGTTCTGGTAAGCTTCTATGCGATGCGTCCTATTGGCATTCGTACTGCTTTCAAGTAAGCTTTCGAATAAATTCTGTAACTTAGGAGAGGTTAAGAACAGAAGATAGCATACCCGAAGAAACTTACTTATTACTTCCTTACATCCTTAGATGATGACATCGTCCTGATTAGGGATTGGATCAGCTTTTAGACCTTCCCTGCTGGTTACATGTCTCATAAGCTTTACTTGTGACGTCCATAGATGTAGTCTGTTTTTGTTGCATCGCAATTTCCTTAGCAAGGTTTTGAAAATAGTTCGAAGAGTGTCATATTGGTCCTCTGTAGCTTGAGTTATTGTATTGTCTTTTCCGGTGCAATTCTATTACCTGCCACTAGTGGGCCCACCTGAGGCTTGTACCTGACGTCTCCAATCCTCGTTGGGGATAGCAGCGATTCCCTGAGCTACTCTGCAATACTGGTATGAATCTATTGTACTTTAGCATGTTGTATAGTCTCAACTCTCGAGGTTCGACACCATTTGGTAGAGTTTACCTCCAGTAATCAGTTCCAAGAAAACCTTTGCTTGTCCTAATCGGTAGTGTGCCACTGAGCGGAGACATGAATAATGTAGCTCGTCGTATGATTGGTTTAAAATGTGTGGATCCTAAATAGCTCTTGTGTCCAAGTCAATGTACGGTTACGATATTCTACGTTTTAAGTGATACTGAAATTTTTTAGTTCCTTCGCGCAATCCATTATCGCCTTTGCGAAGACCGTTAGCATGGTGCGTGGTGGTAATGGAATTAGTCTAACTTAACTTTTTTACTGTCGTAGATTTTCACTAACTATAGAAGTTGG